TACGCAAGTGAGATGCTGCCACAACAGCCCTAATGAGTTCGCAATACCATGAAAGCCTGAGCAACGGTAGCAACTAGATTTGTTGGACATTAACACAGGTTTCCTCAAGACAGAAATGCTGTCCCGATCACCAATAAAAGCAGTTCACTATTACTTCAGATATTATCACAAAGGGAGAAAGAAGGAAAACTGCTCCGAATCTTAAGCAGATATTTTCTTCGAGATCAGTCTAGCCTCCGATAATCTTGTTCCTCTCTAGCGAGACCTACTGATAGTCAAAATTGGAGGAGTAGAAACACTGCCTTCTTAGAAGCTAATTTTGCAGCCACAAAAGACTCCAAACAGACACTGTTTGCCATATGCCATACATTCAACATAAAAGTACATATAGCATAATGGAATAAGCATTCATGACTTTCATACTCAGCAGGCACAGCAAGATAAGCTGAAGAGATTAGAAAACTAAAAGTACTAAGTATTTTTTCCAAAACAGTATTCTTGTTGAAAAAATAAATGAATTTAAATTGACATCGTGAGATGCCACAAAGCAAACAGATTACACTGGAAGTGTCAAAGCCCACGCATGTTTAAAATAAGAGTCACACAACGCTGTGGAAATAAACAAGGTTTTACAACCCGTATGGTGGCTTCCAGCTCTCCTTCTCACATCACTGCACCTGTATCATCAAGCATGCTGCCATCATAATAATAGAGAGACAATAAAAGTTTCTTTTCCTGAAATGTGTACCTGAAAACTCAAACACTGTAAATCTCTCTCTAAACATGCTCCTTACAGTCAGCAGTATCCTGTGCTCAGATATACCCTTCCCCAACAGGGCTTCATTTACACTTTCAATTTGAGTTTCCTCTCCATTTCACACCACTCTAACAGAGACAATCACTATTTGTTGCACAACAGAAGAACATGCTAAGAATAAGTCTTCAATCTTTACTTTGAACAGTAACATGACCCAACAAAATAGCATCAACTACAATAATGCTTTCTATTTACATAGAAAAGTAGCTTCCATTTATATACTACATTTCTCTCAGGAGTACTTCTAATTTCCTAAAATGACAAGTTTACATATCTTATAGAAATTGCTCTGCATCATTAGCTTGCCAGGAATTTCTTCATCAGAGTATCCAAGGCTAACGACACATCAAAATGGAAAAGTTAATCAACACATACAGCTTTCAGAGTGATACTCAGCAAGGAATTGGGACCTTCATCACCACAGAAAGACTACTCAATTGAGCATACAATTCCCTATCAGCCTTGCATGGAGGAATAAAACAAACAAAACCAACACATGAATGATTGCCTTAACAAATAATGTCAACTGAGTCTACTTTAATATCATTATAGTAGCAGCTGTTATGACTATTCTATTTACCTAAATTAGAACAAAACCTCAAACTTACTTACTGCTTGCTAGGTCACATCTTGAATATCACATTTGCTTGAAAACATAGTAAGACTATTTCTTCTGTTATCTTTTCTGTTACAGATAGCCTTCTAATTCATGAAAGCTAGCCAGGCAGCAACACGCATTGATATTCAAGGATCCCCTCCTCCAAGCTCAGGAGAGATGTGTCACAACAAAAAGGAAGTCAGGCAAAAACACCAGGAGGCCTGGATGGATGATCAAGGAGCTCCTGGACAATCTCAAAGCAAAAGGAAGCCCATAGAGGGTGGAAGCAAGGACAGGTAGCCTGGGAGGAATACAGAGAAACTGTCCAAGCAGCCAGGCATTGGGTTAGGAAAGCTAAAGCCCAGATAGAAGTAAACCTGGCCAGGGACATTAAGAGCGACACGAAAAGCTTTTACAGGTATATCAGTGATAAAAGGAAGACTAGGGAAAACATGGGCCCTCTCCCAAGGAAACAGGAGACCTGCTTACCCAGGATATGGAGAAGTCTCCAAAGAATTCAACGAGTTCTTTGCCTCAGTCTTCACCGGCAAGGGCTCTAGCCACACCACCCAAGTCACAGAAGGCAAAGGCAAGGACTGGGAGTATGACCACCCACTGCAGGAGAAGACCAGGTTCAAGACCATCTAAAGAACCTGAAGGTGCACAATTCCATGGGACCTGATGAGACACATGCGCGGGTCCTGAGGGAACTGGCGGATAAAATTGCTAAGCCACAATCCGTCATATTTGAGAAGTGGTGGCAGTCCAGTGAAGTTCCCACTGACTGGAAAAGGGGAAACATAAGCCCCATTTTTAAAAAGGGAAAAAAGGAAGACCCAGGGAACTACAAGACAGTCAGTCTCACCTCTGTGCCTGGCAAGATTATGGAGAAGATCCTCCTGGAAACTCTGCTAAGGCACATGGAAAATAAGGTGATCATGACAGCCAACATGGCTCTACTAAGGGCAAATTGTGCCTAACAAAGTCAGTGGCATTCTGCAATGGGGTTACAGCACTGATGGATAGGGGAAGACCAACTGACATCATCTCCCTGCACTTCTGCAAAGCATTTGACACTGTCCCGCATGACATCCTGGTCTCTAAATTGGAGAGACATGGATTTGACACACGGACCACTCAGTGGATAAGGAATTGGCTCTACGGTCACACTCAAAAAGCTGTGGTCAATGGCTTGATGTCCAAGTGGAGACCAGTTACGAGTGGTGTTCCTCAGGGTTCAGTACTATTTAACATCTTTGTTGGTGACGCGGACAGTAGGATTGAGTGCACCCTCAGCAAGTTTCCTGATGACACCAAGCTGTGTGGAGCACTTGACACACTGAAGGGAAGGGATGCCATCCAGAGGGACCTGGACGGGCTTGAGAGGTGGGCCTATGCAAACCTCATGAAGTTCAACCAGGCCAAACGCAAGCGGGTCAGGGCAATCCCAAGCACAAATAAAGGCTGGGAAGAGAATGGATTGAGAGCAGCTCTGAAGAGGACGACTTGGGGGCATTGGTGGATGAGAAGCTCACCATGAGCCAGCAATGCATGCTTGCAGCCCAGAAAGCTGACCACATCCTGGGCTGCATCCCCAGCAGCGTGGCCAGCAGGGCAGGGGAGGCGATTCTGCCTCTCTACTCTGCTCTTGTGAGACCCCACCTGGAGTACCGCATCGAGCTCTGGGGCCTCCAACATAAGAAGGACATGGACCTGTTGGAACGAGTCCAGAGGAGGCCACAAAGATAATCAGAGGATTGGAGCACCTCTGCTCAGGGAGAGAGTTGGGGTTGTTCAGCCTGGACAAGAGAAGGCTCCGGAGAGATCTTATAGCAGTCTTTCAGTACTTAAATGGAGCCTACAGAAAAGGTGGAGAAGGACTCTATCAAGGAGTGAAGCAATAGGACAAGGGATAACAGCTTCAAACTGGAAAAGGGGAGATTTAGATTAGATATTAGGAAGGAATTCTTTACTCTGAGGGTGGTGAGGCACTGGCCCAGGTTGCCCAGAGAAGTTATGGCTGCCCCATCCCTGGAGGCGTTCAAGGCCAGGTTGGATGAGGCTTTGAACAACCTGGTCTAGTGGGAGGTCCCCCTGCCCATGGCAGGGGGGTTGGAACTAGATGATCTTCAAGGTCCCTTCCAACCCAAACCATTCTAGCAGCAGAGAGCACAAGAAGTCAAATCCTCTGACCATGGTAAAAATTAATTTAAGCAGCAGAAAAATTTTGGGAAGTCTCTGGTGGGATAATAAACTTTGTAAAGGATACAGTAAAAATAAGAGAAAAGCAGCAAACTCTATTATTGCCTAACCTGGTGCTGGATTAACCTTCTGGAAACATAACCTCTATGTTTACTTCTAAGCAGGCAGACCAAGCAGAAATATACTCCTGGTATCTTCAACAGGTAGCACATGTCTGCTTTTCTGTATTCATCCTTTTAGACTTCAATCATGTATATCAGTCTTGTTTCATTATCCCATCATAACATACCAAATTAAAAAAGTGAAAACTAATAGTCTGGCAGGAAAAAAAAAATAATGACAAAACACTTGCTGGAAAGTGGGAGAGTAGGGCAGAAATGACTGGTAAGTCTGAACCACCAGATGAAGGTGGTCTAATACAGAAAGTGAAAAATATAAACACAAGGCCAGTTAGTGACAGTGCTAGAAATTATTTTCACTGAAAACAGTAAACACTGTGACATTCTGATTTAAGTGCATGTGGTTTCCCAGAAACATGCAGAAAATCTGACTGGGGAAAGCCCTGCACTATCAGGTTGTCTAATAAGATTAATGCTTCTGCAGAAGGTATGCCAAAGCAGTAATGTGCTCTTGGCCATTTATACCTGCTTATGGTCACGAAGTATGCATCTAACTGAGAATTGATACATAGCCTGGAGGTAACTTAGCCCTGGATTTCCATTCTTCTGAATCAGGCATAATACAAGGAAAAATCTGCATATACACTTGTGCGTGCACACATGCATGTGCAGTGGAAAGGATTGTACCAACCTCACTGACTACAGTCAAGTATCCAAGGTTCTTTCTTCAGCTACAGAAACTTGAAGAAATTAAGGTATTTGTTATGTACTGATTTTTTTTTTTTTAATGTTGCAGCAAAGATTAAGCAAAGATTAATGATACAGCCACTCTGACAGAAATAATAGCCTGAAAGCTTTCAGCTGTTCTAATTCTGCTGCAGCATGACACCTCTCAGAGGAAAAAAACAAATTCTGAAAAATTATAGAGCCAAAGTTTCGTTTTCTCCAAAACACAAGCCACATAGCCTTCAGGGTAAAGATTGACTATGGCCTATTAAGGAAAGAGTTGCAAGATGTTTTGCAGGAAGCAATGATTAGAATACAAGATAGCTCTCCAGTGTTTGAAGGATGAAAAAAATAACAAAGGAAATTATGACTAGAGCAACATTAGGACCTTACATGCCAATTAGCACAAAAAAGAGCTCTAGCTTTAGTTTGTGACAGGCTTCTGTATTGTTATACTTCTGTGCTAAGAAGCATACGTACGTCACTGCTGTTATCTTTCTCCCTCTGACATTTGAACTGTGATGTTCTGTAGACTTACTTCAAGTCAGCTGCTAATAAATTAAATCCATTGTAAAGATGTCCTTCTACTGAAACTTTCTTCAAGTAAGAGTAGCTGTCCAGATCTGCAGTCAAGAAGTTTGTTACAAGAGCACCTAAGAAAGAGAAGTACATAGAGCAACTCGTATGTGCGAACTCACTGTTCTGACAGGTTTGGTAAAACAAACAATAAGACACAAGATTCCTGTTACCAACGGGGCGGGGGGGAAGGAATAAAAAAAAAAAAATCAACCAACCAACCAGCCAGCCTTTAAAAGCGTTACAGCATTGTATCACGTTCACATTAACAGCTTGTCTTTTACACTGAAGAACTCAGTCAAAAGCTCTTGATCAAAGTTTCTACAGAATTCATATTTACTAACTACTCTACACTGGATGTGCCTTTCCTCTCCACCCACCTTGCTGAACTATTTCTTGTCTTGCTTCATTTCCCTGATATATGACCATAAAATGAAATACAAATGACATGGTTCATTTGTTTCTCTGTATAACATGTTTTGCCATTGCAATGTATTCCCAATGCAGTACCATATGACAGTTACAAACAGACCTATTTTTACTAAAAAAAACAACCCCACAGATGTGGTCTTTCTGAAGAGCTTTTTTCCTATTATTTCTGCTCCTCTGATTTATCAATGTGTAGGGGAGAAGAGACTACAATGATCTTTTAGGTTAACCTCCAGCATAATCCAAGTTGCACTGTTTCCCTGACTTAAATGTTTGTACAAGAACATACACATTTTAAAAAGTCTACTGTAATCTAAATCTAGCTCAATGCTTGTCTAGTTGTTCTGACTGTTAATTAGAATTACTTTCAAGAGAAGACAGTTGGCGCTGCATTTCTTGTCTGAACGTAACTTCAGGCTCCAGGCACTGCATCTTGTTTTACTTTTGCCTGCTTCATTAAAAATCACTATCCAAGTCAAGTTCCCCACACAGGTACTCAAACTCATCAGTTCACAAATTCTGTTTACAGCATGTAACCATTTGATTTGTCCATAAAATGATGTTAAAAAAAAAATGAATACTGTAATCATCACTATTTTACTGGACCACCAGGGCTTGTTTGTCTGTTTTCTTCTTTTTCTATTTCTACTCCTTCATACCTCTTCCTTTTGCATTTTTATCAATCTTTGGCTGCAAATAGTTTGTCAGGGCTGCCATCTTGCCTTTCTTACTGATTCCCAGCCACGTCCCACCTTCTTTTCCTTCCTCCATATCCAGACCTAATGGAATAAGTAAGAGTTAGGCTATAAGATTAATTTAAGAAAAATGTCAAACTTAAATCATAGTTTCTTAATGCAAGTCCTGAGTCTTGATCAGGCTGGATAAAACAGTAAAAGATTGTCTTCCTGGACAAGTGAGGTAAGCCCACTTAAATTACCCACCCTCCAACTCTGCACTATCAAATATTTTCCACAGATGAAAATGGAAATAATAGATTAGAGGTAATGAGAAAATTAGAAGCAAAACTATAACCTTTGCCTATATGCTAAAATACATATAAAACTTTAAGTAAGCTCAGAATACTTGTTAGCTCAAAAGCAAATCTCAGAAGATTAATATTATTTGGAAGTTTAAATTCACAAGTAACCAGAAAAATTTACATTAGGGCAGGTAACTGACAAAGATCTTGGACTCCGGTAACAGTAATTTACATTGAGGAGGGTGATCCACAAAAGTGAAGCCCGCAACGAAACCTCTTCAAAGAGAGTACAAGTTAAAAAAACATCCCCGCTACCTATTTGTAATGAGCTCATGTTAACAAGCAAGCATTTAATGGAAAACCAAGAACTAGTTCAATAGAACAGGTACACTGTTTTAATTCTGAAATTCATTAGAAGATCAAAAGAACGGGTTTTGGATCCTTATTCAGAAACTTCTTTCTTTCTTCAGTATCCAAAACTCCAGTATTGAATTTAGCCATATCACATCTTTACACAACACTTTTACTACTGTTCTCTACCTTAACTGAAAGGGACACGAAAGAAAAACATACAACTTTGTTGACCAATGCCCAATGATTAACATATAGCAAGTCATGTTTTCCAAAATTGCTGTAAGTGCAGAATATTTTTTCATTTTTAAGTCACACAAAGAATAAATTTGTTTTATTTTGGTTCAACTTGCTGCTTTCATTTGAGATAACATTATTAACTCAAAGGCATATATTCATGGGATCTCCACAGACACACCCCCTGGATGGAGAATACACCAGTTTCTTACGCCAAATACAGACAGAGCTGGAAAGGCTATAAAAGGGAAAAATTCAGGGCCCTTCAGTTTTCAGGATAGCTTTTTGTTTGTTTGTTTTGAACACTACATAAGCAGGGGAAGCAGCATCCAGAATGTCTGGCACGAAACAGAAACGTCAGCCAGAACTCCAGAAGCCAGGGAGTTGTAGCGCAGTGCGAGTGTGAGTATCCTCACAGGCCTCCTTGCCGACAACAGTAACACACGGCATCAGCAAAGAATATTTGCAAAGTCAAAATTTTGCATTTAAACAATGCTTTGTCTTTCAGAGCTTCATTTCTGTTTCTGAAAAAAGGCAGAAGTATTCATTATACTTAAAAATGACTCCAGATACATTCCCTACAAAGAGGAACCAGACAGCTGAGTGATTATACTATCAGTTCAGCAAAACATAGACACAAAAGCGAATAAACTGATGGATCAATAACTAAAATTATTCTGTAGCCTATAAATTATTAACTGATACGAAATGAGAAAGTTTTCACTTTCTTGAGGCTTGGTTTAATGATTTCAAGTCACTATTACAGACAATGAGTCTGTGGAATAACTAATTCCACAGTATTTCAGTGCATCTAACAAAGTAATCGTTTGTGATGGACAAATTAACTGCACTGCTTGGACTGAAATCAGTTAAAGAACTTAAACTGGGAAAAAACCCACGAGATATTAAAACACAAATAAGATAATAATAGCACAACTCATCTTTCAAACTTATGACGTGTTTTCCCCAGAGGTACAGGGAAGAAGCATATTTCTTATTAGAAATGCAACACCACCACCCCAATAACAAAAAATCCAGGCAATAATTCCCTTATCAATTGTATGAAAACCACTCAAAACAAGATGACATACATACCACTAAGGATCTCATTGCTGCTGTCCCAAAAATCTGCCGATTTGGATGGTCTGTGGTAAAATTCATCTCTATTAGCTGCTAGAATAAGCCTGTAGAACACAAGAGGGAAAAGATACTATTTACTTACAAATAAGAACTCACAGTGCAGGCAGGAACAGAACCCAATTCTTGCCACAGCATTAACTCATTTTAAGTATGAAACCATCCTTTATCCTCTCATCTCACCTTTATCACTCAGTGTAAATGTCGAATGACATCTGACAGCAGCCTTCTCTCTCTTTGTCTTGAGACATTCAGCAAGTCTATCTTGTTGCATGAACGAGGCAGCTGTTACTTTCGAAAAATACTTCCAATGCAAGAGATTGAATTAAGATTGCTACTGCAATCTTAAGATTTCTCAGCCTGTGAAATTACAGCTTAATTAAAGAAAATGTAAAGGTAACCTACAGATTTATAGGTAACAAAAAAAAAAAAAAAATCTGAAGCATGAGAGTATGTTTTTACTGGATCACTACCTAGGATCACGTAGTCACAGTATTTTTTAATCTAACACCTAAAGCTCTATTCATGTTGTTCAAAGATACAAGTCAGATGTTTTTGTCTGTAAGTACCCAGAACAGAGACAAATTTGCAACAGTCTCAAAGGTCCAGCCCCACTGAAATTTGTTTGAAGAAATGACAGCATGCTCAAGGACGCAGAGAAGTAAAGGGGAAAGGCATGGGTTTTTGTAACAATTGAAGTATTTTGGTGCAGCTTTTCACCCTGTTTTTTATTTGGGGGAGGTAGGGGGTGGTGGTGCATGTGTAGTTGCTTGCATAATCTGAGTTCTACTAGAACAGTAGGACAAAATAGTTGAACCGTTAATGAGAGTCAGCCCTTGAAGCAGAGAAACTACAAGCAGCCCTGGAGGATACACATTCAGGAGGTAGGAAGAAGTTATGAAAAATAATATGCAATTGAAAAATGCTGCTGGATGAAATCCATTTTTTATAGTTAGAAATAAACACATCACTCCACAAGACCAAGTGCTGTCCTGACAAAAAGCGTGTTGTAGCTCTTCACGTGCCATCTAAAATGTGATTATTTTAGAAAACAGATATTTAAAAACACCAGGCCCTATTAGGAAATGGCAGCGACAGAAAATCCTGCTAGCTATGCCTGGTTCCCTCTGCTCTGTACATTGATAATTATCGTAAGTGGCACCTGCAGACTTGAAAGACCAAGTTTGACTTGATACTTAAAAAGCAGCAGACATACAAGACAGGACAGGTCTCCCTGAAAAGTTCCAGGCTTGGCAGCAACGCAGATCAATCAAATTCAACAGTAACACCAGTTCAAGCCAGCCAGGCTGTGAATGTAATGCAGGTAAGGTTTAAGGAGTCAGTACAGCCGGACAGCTTCTGAGGAATTCAGAACAGTCTCGGTTCTTGGCCTTTGAAAAGCAAAAGCTATTTCTCTGTCCATTTCATCCAGCAGAAGTTATAAAAACAAAGCAACTTCCTGGGCGTACTCCTTTTTGTAACTGTAATCAGCTATAGAGAAAACAAAAAAGGCTAATACTTCAATGGCATCCTTCCTGTAAGGAAGATGCTTAGTATTTTGCCCAACAAAGATAGCATCTGTTGGAAAGCACAGCATGTGTACGTTTTTATCTTTCCAATGCCAAATAATCATAATATTGTTCTTTCAGACTTGCATTATTTCTTTTCTTGTAGCTGATTCTAGTCTATAATCTATAAGCTTTCAGCTGATTTACCAAATCTCTGCCATCTTGCTTGAATATCCTCCATTTGCAGCATGCATCCTCCTTTTACAGCTTTTTATTTAAATAAACATCTCCACTGTTAAAAAATAGTGTGGCTGAAGTACATTTCGCATTTCCTGAAGCTCCAATTATATTTTGCCTTCAATAATTCTTGACGTGAAACCGCAGTTTGTTTACAGTATCTAAACACTAAAAATAAGCAAAGTCTTTCTGGTGTGATTGAACATTTCCCATCTCAAGTTTAATACACAAACTCCTAAATTTAGCACAAGGCTAGTATACAGGACCGCTATAATCAAAACATCTTCATTTTGTCTTTTATTAAACATAATCATACTGAAAAGGAACAATATTAAGTGACCCTCATCTTCTAATAAATTGCAAAAAGCCTATTCAGCTATTTTTATAGCTGAAATAATTCAACTGTATTAGGATTTACGTATTGAGATTTATTTTAATGTTGAGGCAGAGAGATGAAAACATGAGAAATCATTCCATTAAAGCAATTTCCTACAATGTAATTCAGTTCCATAAAAAAGACTCTGTGATTATAGCTTTGAAGCTTGAAACATGTATTTATTTGTAAGACACACACAGTGTAGTTCAGAAATATGTAAAGGCAGCGTGTTACCTTTGACAATAATAATGGACTACAGTAAAGCACTTGTTACACCACACTAAACTTTACTACAAATAGGCCTGTGGAGACAACACAGAGAAAAAGGGCAGAACAGCAAGTTGCAAGGGTACAGGAAGATAGATTCATTAGTGTATCACAAAGGTGAACTGTAAGCTTTTTGCTTAATTAGGTGCTCATGAAAATTGGCCAGTGTACTGCTCTAGGAACCAAAGTCCACCTCGATGGAAAATTCTCCTAAGCGCTACGGAGAACATGTTTTAGTTTGAGAAAGTTTATTGGCTACAAGAAAATCACTGATGACATGCAGTTTGTCTTTTCAACTTTTAATGCCTATTTTAGACAATTTCTTTTAGTTAGAGATGTGCTTTCCAACAGACGCGGTCTTTGTTTGAGCAAAATACTAAGTATCTTCCTTAAAGGAAGGATGCATTGAAGCGTCCCTTCCAACCCTGACCATTCTGCGATTCTGTGTCAGCCTTTTTTTATTTTCTCTATAGCTGATTCCAATTCTTTATCTGTAGTATTTCCAATGCTCAACTGCCACCTCATGATCATATTTTAAAACATTGTGTTAATGAAGAGATTAATTTGCAGGAAAGTTCAGAAAGCAAAGTAAAGGACAGTAAAAAAGAAAAAGTAATTGTAGATGCCTGTTTTAACGTGGACAGACAAATTAGTATGTCTGCAGGAATCCCCTTTTGCTTGGAAAAACTGTTCAAATATAACACCATGAAATAAACAGAGCTATAGCACAGTGTAACACACCTGAGGTGTCAGGAGAAATAAGGCTTAGCAAGAGACTGCATAGAGAGGTCCAACTTGGTCTAATGGCTCTAATACTGTTCAGAGAATTAGGAGCGCTGGCTACCATTCCCAACTGATACTCAGACCTACATCCTTCAGAAAGCTCAGGCAAAGGTGAAAAATCCTTAGGAACAATTTAGGAAGAATGAACTCAACATTTTTCCTAATAAAAGAGAAGCAAAGAGATTTAGTTATGGCGAGTTAAGGAAAAAAAAGGGGACTGAAGTTATGTATCTGATGTTAAAATCTGACACTAAGAACACTGTGGTCTGGCACTTATCAACAAAACAGATGGCTCCAAGTAATTTCTCTCAGAGGTATAGGACAAGACATCGCTTAACAAAAGGTACTGAGAAAGTTAAATACAATTAAATATTCCTGAATTTAGGCCAAAGCATCTCAAAAGTGTTTTCCTGTTTTGACACTGATAGCAAGTTGTTTTCTGCTATAAATCGATAATTTCAATCTTGATGCATTTTTTTATAGCAAGCAAACCGCTGTAAGTTTTACTTTTAAATATTGATCATGGCAGAAAGTGCACTTGGCAAGCAACTACAGTTTACATCCAAAGAATTTTCCCAAGAGGCATCAAATTGATGAATCTGTCTTTTGCTAACTAGCAACACAAAGAAAGTCAGACCAAATAAATGGATATATTAATTCAGCACTAGTCACATCATAAACAAAACCCCTTTTTAGGCAGATTCCAGATGCAGAAAGGAATGCACTCTACGGACAATTGAGATTTCGGTTCTCATTTCCTTTCTTTCTATAGAATGGCATCTGCTTCTCAATACAAAGAGGCAGAAAAACAAGTCAATGAAAGGCAGAATGATTTACTGAGCACACTGACTCTGATGTTTCTGGATGAATACCAATACTCGTACCCCACAAAGTAATATGGAACCTATACAGTATGTAAAAATACAGAAACCAATAGAACTCTACAGTCTTCTTACTGCCTTGAAGCGTTACCTTTCTATTACATACAGAATGTACGCAAAGATACTGATGTTGGGTATGAACTTTTAAAATTAAGGGCTGTAACGAGACAGAAAATTATTACAGGAAGTTTAATGTTTGGGAAACTCACTGTATGACATCAACACATCCAGTTAAACTTACCTAGAAGCATGGATGCTTATGTCTTCAGCTTTAGGCTAAAGATTTCATACAAATGACTATTAGTTTACTACCTAAAATTTATTAAATTTTAATTTTAATTACATAAAATTTTAATATGACTGTCAGTTTATTACCTAAAATGTTAATTGCAAGCAGTTTTGGGGGAGCAGAAAGGGTAGGACATTTACTAAAAGTTCCTTATTCTCCAGTTCACAGCACTACTTGTTTTACATTGCTACAGGAGTATAATCAGTTTGAAAGCAGTGAGATTTGATTTCCAGCATTTTCTGAAATTGTAAGTACTTAATTATAGAACAAGCAGCAACTGAAGATCTTTAAGTACACCTTGTGCCAACAGCAAACTGACAGGCATAAATAACTGTGAGGATATTAGACATTAGGAAGAAATTCTTGACTGTGAGGGTGGTGAGCCCCTGGCCCAGGCTGCCCAGAGAAGCTGTGGCTGCCCCATCCCTGGAGGTGTTCAAGGCCAGGTTGGACGGGGCTTGGAGCAACCTGGGCTGGTGGGAGGCATTCCTGCCCATGGCAGGGGGGTGGAACTCGATGAGCTTTAAGGTCCCTTCCAACCCAAACCATTCTATGATTCCATGGTCTCAAACACTGAGCCAGCTGTTAAACGCACTGTACATCAGCTGTTGGGAGCAGAAACCAGAGGCCACCCACATCAAAACAGGCTTCCTACAAGCTCCAAAATGTTTTTCTGGAAGTAAATGGAAGGTGTCATTCCTGCACATAACAGAGTGTCAGAACTAGATGATCTTTAAGGTCCCTTCCAACCCAAACCATTCCATGACTCTATGATAGCTTGACTTCATCTAGCTGTATTTTAAAAAGCAACTGTACCTATTTGTAAGCTAGCCAGTTCTGTCAAAAACGCAGTGGAAGAATGAGCAGTGGTTGCCATGATGTAACATGGAGCAGAGCAGTGAACTACGCTCTGAAAAAGAAGGTACTGTCCTTCGGAGGAAACAGGACAAAGTGGCAATTCAAAGTTAACCAGAAGCTACATAAGCAGTTAAATTTCAGTATTAGTACCTTTTGGACTCATAGTGTACCTCTCTCTTGACTTACAAGACTGGACCAGCACATATTAACAGAGGAGAAATTAATACAGTGGTTAATAACTGCAACACTTTTGCTCTACTGTCTGCCCATTACCTTCCAGGCTAAATTCAAACTGTTGGTTTCAAACTGAAAGCCCTAAACATATCTACACTACTGAAAGAAGGATACAGCTACAGCTGTGATGCTCCAAACACGATTCCCTTTAGTTTAAATGATGAAGTAGAAGGCAGGACTTTCAAACTCTGTATTACAGTATTTAAGGGATTTATCCTACAGCACATGATAGATCACCAGCAAGAAGTCCATGATTACAAAGTTCAAGTCTTCTGACATAGTCTAAAGACAGTATGTTCTCAAAAGGTTGCAGTAACTACTCCAATGGTGAAAGTCATGAAGTTAAACATCATAAAAGCATAATTGAACACGTAATACTGACTTGAGTTTGTAATTCAAACATTGGCTATGAAAATAAATTGTATTAAAAAAAATTATAGAAACAAATCTGTTTTTACTAGAACCGTCTTTACCTGTATGCATTTTTTGAAACTGGTCGGGGGTCAAATTTGAATAGAAGGATGCACATTGAAGAACTGATGTTTAAATCTTGCTTCTTCCACAACAGCTCAGTGCAAGGTCATTCTGTAATAGCCTACAAAGTAAATAAAGATTATCTATTACACCACAAATTATAAAAATATAACCTTGCTTCTAAGCTGAAACTTAAAGATTGTAATGTTCTCACTAATAGCTCACAATAAAAATAAATAAATAAAACAGGACTTCCAAAACAGATTTGTTTAAATGAATGGTTTACTACCAAAATTCTTATGATACTTCTTTCAAAGCTATGCTTGGCTAATTCAGAGTTTTAGAAAAGAAACAAGCATCGGGAAAATACTGACAAAGTCTAGAGATACATGAAAGAAAGACTATTATGTCATTTTCTGTTCATTACCAAAAAGTACCACTACTTCCCCCCCCCCCTTTTTAAGTAAGGCAAAATGCTTCCGTTAGAATAAAGCAGAAAATAAGACTCAAACTGTTGCAGAAGCTGGAAAAAGTACCAAACCTGGAAATTAAGTATACTTCAGGCGAACCAATTACAAAAGTCCAGGAGAAAGTATTATTGTTTACCATCAGGAAAAACATCAGGTACAGACAAAAATGTACTGGACCAGAGCGTACATTTTGATTACTAGTTTCCAGCACTTGTGGTATGTTTAAAATTCTGGCCACGCTCAGATGGCATGACAGATGTGCTTTCTATTTCAAAACCACATATCAGCTTTCAAATATTTTTGTGTTGCCCCAATTAAAATTTTTCTGGTAATAAAACTGTAGCCTAATTTTTACTTTTTGTGGCCGCTAAAACAATTATCAGAGTGTTACCAACCAACCACACATAACCATGTTTTATTGCTACTGAGAGCTTTTTTTCCATGCCAGAGTTTTCAAGGTAGGCGAAGAGGGGAGGGGGACAGGCAGAATTCAACACCACAACTCTAAGGCCATCTGAGCAGCCCAGTGACTGAAGCAACTTCTGTACAAAAGGTAAGATTTTTAACTATACTTCCAGAAATGTTAAAAGTGTCCCTCTTCCTCTTACATTTCCACATCATTTACCTTAAAAGATACCTAGAAACAGATGATCTTGACTACAATTCATATTACCTGAGCTACAAGTGCAGCATTTATACAGATTTTTTTAATTAATAGCTTTCCGGGAGCTGCTGGCTCCTGTTAAGTCACAGTTTAGCACTACTAGTTATCTAGCCTGATGTTGCTGTCACGGCACAGTCTTGCAATCTCATATTCCGCAAAGAGACTCTTCTGTTGCAGGAAATGAAAGAACTCCAAAAGAGGTGCAACGCTCTTGACACCTTGCTGAGGCACAAGAAAAGTAGCAAAAGGGAGCATGTGTGTGCATACCGCTGCCTCACAAAGTATTTCAAATTCTGTTCTGTGACAAAAGGAAAACAGAATTAAATCACACTGTAGGCTTTCTTCGCCTCTAACAAGTCAAGCCCAAAATAACTAGTTTAGAAATTAATTATAAATTGAAAATGCAGACTTGAATTTTGGATAACTGATTTACTAGCCAGGTGTTTAAAGAGATCCATAGCCAGCTTTATTTAGAAAATCTAGTCAGTTTTAAGAAGGTGTTATCACCCTTCTTAGATGCCTATTGTTGAATTTTCAACAGACTGTAATTATACTGGATTTGTACAACCAGACTACCAGTTCTGGAAGACTTGGACCTTCTACATGCAGATCTTGTTAGCTTTTCACAAAACTCTGGATCTTGCACACCAGCTGCTTTATGTCACTAAGCATAAATAACGCTGACCTGTTCACGCTTTAAACTCCAACTCTTAAAAAGAAACCGAAGCAAAACAAAATTACAGTCACAGTTCAAATCACAGAGCACAAATTTCCTAGAGCAACAGACAGCTTATGAACTAGAGCACAGTGCCATTTCCAGATAACATAACACAACTCTAGGTATTTCTGAAACCTTTTATACTCATTTTTTTACATTAAATTTCTGCTGCTGTCCAGATAACCTTGCAGCATCTATATGCCATACCCCACCTCAGTTTCTTTATTCAGGGTACCATTTCTTCTCCCAGAAGAGATTTAAATTGCAGATCTTCCTATTCATGATTTCTCCTCTGGAACATTACATCATTCTTTATTCTGCACCAGCTACCTTTCTTTTAACCTTATCTCGTCTCAGTCCAGATTCTTCTTGTCTTGCTTTATGCCCTTCTCTCACCTCCAGACCTACTGTGCCTCTAGATACTTGCTTTATCATTGGAATTTTATTTTTCTGCTTGGTAATTTTTCTCTCCCCAGAAGAACACAAAAGATGGGTTTCTTCATGACTCAGGCTCTGCAGTGTACTTATTGTGCAGACAGAACATAATCATGAAGATTATTCACTTCTATTCATTCTACAGCACCTTCCAAACAGGTCCCTACCAAACACTTGTCAATCCAACCAGCCCAGTGGATGAACTACACGTTGGCTCACTGTAGGAACCTGGGCTATCATCAAGTCTGGCAGATTTTCCCCGTTAGAAGAATGGGCTTCCAATAATCCTCTCAAGGTCACACAATCCTATGTAACATAAACCTCCAGCAAGGTTGGGGCATATAACAGTTGCCCCTCTTTCCCAAATGATGCAAATCTCACAGCAGTTACTGTTTATGTAACTCGGTGCACAGGCTACACAGAAACCAACCAGCAGATTTCCTCCCCCCCTTCAAAAAGTGAATCTTTTTGCTGAAGTCATTACTGATGAAAGACTCAAATTAGAACAGATGAGACCTTTCAACCCCCACTCCCAACATTACAGTTAGAACACTGCAATAAATGTCAAACTAAGAGCAAAGGTTTATTTTAGCTGACTGATTGCTGCTGTTCTGTTCCTCAGGCAATCTTCTCACAGACAGCTCCACGAGTAAATGGAAACGGCACTCCGTCCTTGACAACAGCTTGACTGAACATAAAATTGGGAGCAGGAGGAATGTCAATGAACAACTGTGCTGCACCAGGCTCAACGCTGGGTGAGACACCCTCCTTTCCAGACCAGGGTCTGTAGATGGGGAGCTCTATAGAGAACTGCTCCCCCCTCTACTCAGCCCCCAATATCCCAACCAGAGTTGCAGGCTGGGTTTATAAGCCTCAGTGTAAAGATGTGAATAAGCTGCTGCACCAAAAAGGAAAAGCAATGAGTTTTCTATTAACAGACATATTTAACATCAGCAGTTAGGAAAGCTAAACCTGTTAATAACATTTTGCAGAGGCACTGTTTCATGTTACTTACATTTTTGAACATGTAAACTCTAATATACCTTATCAGATCTGCTACTGCTAGTTGCACTTCTACCAAAAAAAAGCAAGTTTATCACACGCTAGTGATTTCAATTATGCAGATTTCAATTTTACAGTTAAAATCTTTGTTTTATCTTATCTTTTCCTTTTCTCCCCAAATTGCAGATTACAGGGGAAGAAAACTTTGTCTCTGAACCACAAAGCCACCGGAGCCAAGAATTAGCCAGTGATTCACGTGGCACATTGATGATGGCAAAAAAATATGAATTAGTAACAGAAAAGCCTTTGCAAAAGAAGCAGCAGCACAAGACTGATCCTAAGCATGGCTCTCAGCATTCACGTTGCAAAATCTTCCTTGGAAGCCCACAAAAAAATGGACAGATTATGTTTGTTAAAATAAAGGACAAATAATCTTAAAGAGCTTTAGTTTGTCTTTAAGAAGTGTATCAAAAAGCTATATAAAAATAAACGTAGATGGAGCAATTTCTTGCCTGTTTGTCTAGCAACTTGCTATAAAATTAAGGTAGTGACTTACAATTCTGTTTAATAAGGAGTTCCACTGTAATTACAACTTTGCATGTCCTTCAGAAGGTAAAGGGCTACAGCTTCTGCTATCAAAGCTATATTACTGGCTGCCCATCAGAATGAACTTATGTCCATAAAACACATTCAATAAAATGTATTAACAGAGTGGTTCCTGGCGCAACCAATACACTAGAATAATAGCGTACATTATTGTTCACTGGTCCCCACTTCAGAAAGACAGACATATGATAGCTTCATTCTTTTCACCTTTTCCTCAGTGTAACCATCAAGACTGACATTTATAAATATTAAGTCATGCCAGACTATTTCAGAAACAACACTCATAGCTCAGAAGAGATTCCCTTCAAATCTTCTGTTGAGAGGTACCCATTTATAGCATCAGCATGAATACAGTAGGTAGTCCTTAAACCTTTTTTTTTTTTCTCCTTTGCAAAGTGCAAAGAAATGCACTTGGTGAAAGCAGGGATATAAAATACAATTTTAATGGGCAACTGTCACCAACTGCTCTTGCTGACTATGGAGATACAGCTCCCAGTATTCATTAGGTGTCCTGTCAGAAAATTAAATGGATTACTCAATAAAAAACTGTTGACAATCACTCATAAGACTACTATTTTAATAAAGAGATTCCAGGTTCCATTAGCAGATTTATTGAGTTCCCTTCAAATAATCAATGCAGTACAGCTGTTTGCACAAAGTTACTGGTCAACATAAAGCTTACACAAAAACTGTCAGTCAGAAAACAGCAGCAGAATGTTTGTAACACTTGACAAAATTATCTAGGGCAACAAATATTTTCAACACTTTGATGCCTTTCTAGAATCCATATTTGTTATTATTTGGTTCTACTGCTTTGACAGAAGTATCCTTCTGTCACCCCATCAACTCTGCTTGATGTTATTACAGTTACATTTGTGCTTTCAGTAACTCCAAATATCAAAACAGTAATATTTATCTTGGGCTTCACCTGCCAGCCTTGAAACAAGCATAAGTCTTCATAGGTCCTATATAAACAGTCCAACCTTTTTTGTTATTCAGACAGAAGTGTTAAAGCCAGCTAAAACAGAGCTACCCCTTAAAATAGCAGTGATACTTCATTGGCAAAGGAGGCAACCAACATATTTTGGTACCTTCTTTGATCAAAGCTGACGTTGCATTTGCAACACCTGTTGTGTTTTTATACCCAGGGCTGGATGGGAGCCTTAGTGTGTTCTTATTGAAGAATTTTGACTCAGACTCAAATTTGGATATTCTGAAATTTGAGAC